GACCACCTTCCAATCAGTATGGTATTATTCCATAGATAACAGTACAACTAAACCAATTAAATGTTAAATTGGTATACGCTGATGTGCACACAGAATGACTCATCAGAGCAAATAAACAAGACAGGAAACTTATGACATCAATAATAACACAATATGTTCATATGATAGAATGTGGTGAAGCATGAAAATATGACATATCTATTGATGTGTAAAAATAAAAACTATCTGATAAAAAATCAAAGTAGTTTCAAAATAGCATAAGCTATAAAAGCCCAATTTTGCTGAAATAAGTACATGAGTACTGAAGTAATAACTAGCTTTAGTTTTTAATGTAAAAACGAATAGCAGGCCAGGTGTTGGTGGCACACACCTTTAGTCCCAGCACTCGGGAGGCAGGGGATCTCTGTGAGTTCAAGGCCAGCCTGGTCTACAAAGGGAGTTCCAGGACAACCCCCAAAGCAATACAGAGAAACCCCGTCTCCAAAAAAAAAAAAAAAAAAAAAAAAAGTATACAGTCTGTCAGGGATACATTCCAAGATTCCAATGGGGTTCTAACCATCCTGTTATTTTCTATATATATGGTAACATTTTAAATTATAAATTAGGCAAAAAAGAGGTTAACAATAACAACAGTGAAAATTTACAGGAGTGTACTAAACATTTTTAAAAAGAGGTGGAGGCAGGAAGATCAGCAGTTCAAAGTTATCCTTGACTCTGTAGTGAGTTTAAGGCCAGCCTGAGATACAAGAGGCACAAACAAACAAACAAACAAACAAACAAACAAACCCTAGACAAGACAAAATGGAGCTTTTCTAGGGAAGAATGAAGATCACCACATACCAACTGCTCAGGCATAAAATAGTTTATTTGCAATAGCTTTTGTTTTATTACATTCTAGCAGTTTCCTGACTACACAGAAGGAATTGAGAAGAGTTCATTATGTAATTGCTATTTATCTGCTTCCACATTGCCACAGTGTTGAATATTGACTCACTTTTGGTATCAGTCCATGGTGTGGGAAGGGGCTGTGTTAGCAGAGAGAGGAGCAATTAGGAATTGATGTGTTGCATTAGGAAAACCACCTGAAAAGTAAACATCAAGGAAACCAAGTTTCCAAAGCTCATGGAAATTATTTTAAAAATTAAAATCGATCTAAACTTTTAATATATACCTGTATTTTTGTTTTGAAAACATTTTTAGGTCAATCTTTAGGAGGGATTAGGATGGATTAACTCTGAACCTACTTATTACCTTTAGCCATTTCTCAAGTAAATGTAGAAAAAGTAATGGTCCCACATCTAGAAATACTTACTGCACATGTCCGGGTCAAGGGTCACCACACAGTCTCAATAACACAGGAATCAAATCAAACCCTGTCTCTTTTACTTACCACTAAAGGATTTTATTTGGCCAAGCCAATATAGTCAGTTTTCTTCAGCATGAACCAAATTATTTTCTTAGAAGCACATTACTTTACCCCACTTAGATCATTCCTCTTTGAAGCCCAGGGATCATATTAATAAGGATATTTTAATAGTTCTATTTTAGCTCAATTATAGCTCAATTTTAAACCACCTGCCTTCATCGAGATATTCAGTACAAAAAGGCAAAGCTGGCTGGAGTTCCTTTAAAGTTTCAAAAAGTTAATTAATATTCAGCAAGCACTTTGAAGATAAAATGTAAGTGTCTAGAATAATTTATTTTTCTGTGCTGGGCATTGAAGCCAAGGCCTTGTGCATGCTGGGTAAGCTCTCTACCACTAAGTTGTATCCACAGATCTACATTTTAAGGTAAAATTAAAACCACAGATGCTGACATTCTATAATCTTTCATGACTATACTTTCATTTTTGCATCCATGGTCCAATCATGTCAAAATCATAGGGCACTGTAAATATAAAATAATTAAATCTGTATTTTCTTTCAAGTAACTGTAAGGTCAATCCCAAAGGCCAAAGAAAACTGAATGTACTTTAGACACTGTATTAGTCCCCAAATCACACCCTAAGCACATGTAAATACACTGCTTGAACATGGAGGGGACACTGTACCACAAAGCAATGGACTGGAAACTGGCCGGGTGTAGTCGGGTCTCACTTCTGAATCTCAAGGTCCCGTTATCCCAGCCACGCTTTCCAAAACTACAAATCAGAAAAGGTAGACTGCATTCCCTATCCCAGCTCCTTTCCTCAGCCAACACTCTCTGCTTCCCAACCTACAAGCTCCATTTACTGTAGGTCAGGTCATCAAGAACCATGATTCCTAATGATTAATGACATGCTTAATTTTAACATGCTTGACAGGTTTTACTCTACAGGCTTGTCTGGAACTCACTCTATACCCCAGGATGGCTTTGAACTTACAGTAAACCCATGCCTCTGCAAGTGCTAGAACTACAGGGATGAGCCTCCATACCTGGATTTTTAAAGACTTTTAAAAGATGGTATTTCAAAAGAAAAATTGCTGGAGTACCCAATACATATAAGACAAGAGTTACTATATTCTAGTAAAATATAGCAATTTCCTTGCAGGAAAATTAAAATTGTGCTGAGGGTAGATAGCCACTCACTCTCTGGGATTTCTGCTTTTGTACAAGTCTTTGTGCTGAGTGACCTTCCAGAGAGTTTGTTTGGTTTATTTATCCATGCATTTGTTTAAGTTATCAAGTCACTACACATTATGTCACGGCTTCCAAGTATTTCTGAAATGGCTCTGAACACCCTTCTGCTTTATGTGAACTCTATATGTAGAGAGGAATCTTCACAAAAGATTATAAAACTAAAATACAGATCAACTCTGAAAAGTGCTTAAGGTGCTCCTTTTGCAGTATCAAATATCCAGCCAAGATTTCTGTATGCAAAGGTAAATAAACATATCCATCTCATTAGCATGAAAATTTACTGTTTATGTATTAAGTGGCAAGATTATATGGCTTTAAAGTTAGTTTCTCTGGAATTATTATCAGCTAATGTGATCTGCATACCTATTTTACATATATATAATAGCTTTAAGGCATTTCATAATTTTAGTTGGACCTTTTAAAAAGAATTTTGACTTTTTATGTTATTTACCTATTTTCTCTGTATTTGGTTGTAGTCCCTAAAATTACAACAACTGTTCAGAGACTCAGTGAATTTCACAATGCACACAACAATCTGAGAGAGAAAATATAAAAGCACAAAAGCAGCCAGAGCTGGCTAGGGGAATAAACATCCAAGAAAAAATTAATTTCCTTAAGGGTTCAGAATTGTAACATTTTGCCAATAGATATGTAAAAGTTCATACACACACACACACACACACACACACACACAGAGAGAGAGAGAGAGAGAGAGAGAGAGAGAGAGAGGACGAGGGGAAGAAACTGAAAGTCAGTAGCTCATAAAGGGCAAAGTATTCATTTCCAAGTTTTAATTACTGAAAGCATTCCAAATTGGAAATTAATGGAGTAAAGAATTCCAAGGTCTGGGAAAACATCAAAATAGCTGTAGCTATGTTACTGGGCCACCAACACCTTTCCTCTTCGTCAACAGTATGCTCTTGGTAATATGAGGACTGCAATTCCCAACTCTTCCTTAAGTACCCTGTATCTTAGACTCTTAATTGACCAAGCAGAAAATGTTCATGTAAAATATCTAGTGCTGCTATGAATTGCTGGACATATTAATCATATTAATGCCATTCTCTAAAGAGTGGAACAGAAAACACACCAAAGCCATCCGTAGACAGAGGTATGACACATGGTTAGCAATTGCCATATATTGGAGTGGGGCAAGTATGGGCAGCTCTGGTTTGATCCTCCCTCTAAGACAAATGAACTTCGTTTTTTAAGGGGATCCCTCCTCCGAAGTCAATTTCTCTGAGATTTAATAAACTGCACACCAGAACAAGAACTTCTTGGACAAAGGTAACACTAGTTTTTGTTCATATGCAAATGGCTTGCTATGCCTCCCTTGTGGATTATTTCTTGAAGTTCTGCTTTAAGCAACTCTAGGAAACAGTGAGAGCTTATGGCTACTAATTTTGGGAGAAGGAGACTGACAACTTGTGGGAGGAACAGCTATTTTGGGGGTGGTATTCAGTAATTTGCCCAGACTGGATAGTAGAACTGCTTTACTTAACTCAGAGAAGCAAAAACAAGTCACCATGAACACCCCTAATGTATAAGAAAGGACAAATGCACACAAAATGTGTGTGCATGTTACGTCACTGTGGATGGGGCTGTGACAGAAATGGAATGAGCAGTCAGCAGACTTGGGAGGGTGCCCTTGGTGAACTCCTTTTCCTTCATTCCCTAAACCAAGATGAACCCGAGAGCGACAAGTACACAGTCAGGGTGTAGCAAACGAAATGACTTTGCAACTGAGGTTTGCTTTTTACTTTCATCTTGTCCATCTGTTGCCAATGGTGTTTATATGGAAACTGTTTTGAAAAATTCAAGTCTGGCTGTGGTGGTTTGAATGAGAATGTCCTCCAAAAGCTTATATATTTAAATACTCAACCCCCAGTCTGTGAGACTGTTTGGGAAGGATTAGGAGGTACGGACTTAATGGAGGAAGTGTGTCACTGGGGCAGACTTTGAGGTTTCAAAAGGTGCAAAAACACTATCCCTAGTGTCCTCTTTGCCTCCTGCTTATAGATGAAGACGTAAGCTCTCAAGCTGTTCCTGCCACCATTCCTTCACTCCACCACTATGGACTCTAACCTTAAATGCTTTATTGCATAAGCTGCCTTGGACATGGTGTTTTATCAAAACTAGAGAAAAGCATCTAGGTTAGTGTTCAGGGACAATTAAGCATCTGGCCACTCAGGATGCAATGGATATTTTAATATAAACTTTCTGTTTATCTTAGTTATCTAGATAATCACCCTGTGAAGTATGCTGCCAGGGACACTTCAAATGTATAACAGTTAAGGATCCAAGAGTACAGTGTTCTGCCAAGGGCCCAGCAAAGTAGACCCGTTTTAAACCCAGTTCTGTTACAGGGTGGCCTTTCTTACCTACTTTGTCAGCCTCCCATTCTCAGCCATCAATCTTCAAGGTTTCTAGACACTTTCCCTTTCCGTGAGCACCTTTCTTTTCCCCATTGTACTGTTTCACTTCTCTCTCTAGACTTCTGGAATAAACAGAACCAACAACTAGGTCAAATGGTCAAATGGCATTTGCGGCCCCCAGTACCTCACAGTAGACATGGTCCCAGCCCTGCTTCTACTTTCTGTGCTTAACTCTGATGCTTTTTTTTTTATAAATTCTTGCTGTGTGTGTGATAGGATAACCAGGCCTTGTGACTGTAAATCAGAATATTTCACTCTGTTGCCTATGTGTCTAAACGTGTGATCATTTGCCTCCTCAAGGGATTTACTGAGTTCCATATTCTCTACACAGATGTGCTCACAACAGCAGACTTAAAGTGCTGAAGGTTGACTGCCATGATAAATATTTGTTCAGCCTTTTCTACTTTTCTATTAATAGTACTTAAACTATTAAATGTGTATACAATTCCAAAAAAATAAAAGATGGGGGGAATCACATTTTTCATGAGAATCATTGTAAGAAAAGTTTTCTACACTGTGACCTGGTACCGATGTGTACACAACTAAAACAAGGTTCCACAAAGCAATAGGTCACTATGAACAATTCACTTTAACATTTCTCTATCTCCTCCTCTTTCATTTCTTGAATAACACTCAGTGTGACCCATAAAGCTGATTTCATGATATCCTAATGGGTCATCCCCTCATGCTGAAAGACTGTAGTAGAGGACTATCAAATCCTGTGTGTCACTGTCTTTATCTCTTTCCCACGACAGATAGCATTAATGCATCCCAACATTCTTTCTGGGTTCAGCCAGACTAGCATTCTCAGCAGCAAGTTTCACTTGGACAGAGTTGGTACAAAGACATCACATGACCACTAATTCCTAAGGAGCCAGGGAACAAGGACAGAATAGCTAACTTCTGTTGTTTGCCCTCTTTACATCTCCAGAGTTTGCAGTGTCCAGCACGTAACAGGCATTCAAATGCTTGCTAAAAGTGGAATCACAGGGTGAGTTTTGGCTCCATAGACCCTTTGTGGCCCTTTCTGTCCTTCCCCATGTGACCCGACTAACTTTAAATATGAATCTTTCAAAATTCTGTGATCTTGAGCACTGCATATTCTCCCTGTTCTCCAGGCCATGCCTTCTAATAGTTATCTGCACAAAGCTACTTGCTAGTAGTTATTTCCCTCCAAAACAGCTGGTTTAGCCCTAAAGATCATGAAGACAAAGTCATCCGATCAGCTGGTCCAAGAAGGAAAATTCGAAACTTACAGGCACTGACATGATCTGGATACTAATGCACAATCTCTCATTTCAATTCTTCAACAGTGTGATCGGTTTCCCATCATTACCTCATTCAGCTGGTGGGGAGCACAGCCTTAGGGGGAAAAAGAGAGACAGGTCATATGGTTAGCATGTTTGGCAAGGCTAGGATTTAAGTCAATCAATCTCATTCCCTGCCCTCCCTACTCCTCCTTCTCTCTTCACCCTCTACTATCTCCAGCTGCTCCTGAAAACAGAATATAAAATTACAAAGAAACAATGACCAAAGTCTTAAACCCGCTTGACTTGTGTGAACTTAACAGGTTATCACACTGAATAAACAAAACTCAATATCTTAGTAATATACTTCATCATATAACTTTCCTTTTTCTTTACCAAATCTTTGTGAGTTATTCATTACTGGGTATGCTTTTCTTGGCAGCTGCTAGTCTTGGCTGGGACATAAATTCTTGCTGTGAAGCAATTCAGATATTAAGTTCTCTATTACACAGAGAAAATTAAGATTGTGTGTTTGTGTGTATATGATGGATCCAGTCCAAGGGGAAGTATAGAAAAGAAACAGTACATGAATTGGGGATGTGTACATAGAGCAATTAGAAGAAGTTAAAAGCAGAGTCAAGAATTGTAGTCTTTAGCATGCACTGGAATCAATGTGAGGAAAGGCTGCAAAGTAGAATAGTATGGGTTAAGTTTAACTCATATCCACCCCACACAAGTGCATTCTGCCTGGTGTAGACACAGGGTCTGCAGTGTGTAATTTGCCCAGTTGTGACCATGAGTCATCATAAATGTCACTAAGAAGGTCTTTCAAGAAAGTACACTTCTGTTACAAGTTTACAATTACAATAGTAATTCTCAACCAGGACCAATTCAAGCATTTTTGGTTGACACAACTGAGTGAAGGACAGGAATGCTGTTAAACATGGGGGACATCTGCTTCTTAGAACAAATTACACAACCCAAATATGAGGAGGACCAAGGTTGAGAGCCTATGCGACGGAGTTCTCCCATCTGTAAACAGAGAGGGTAAGAGTGTCTGCTGGGATGGATGGGTTGTTGTGAGCCCTAGTCTGCTTTATGTGAAGGATTTAGAATATTCTTTGGTTTTGTAAATAAAGAAAGCTATTATATCTGCATCTTCATCATATAAGTGCAGAACACTGCAGAGATGTATCTCTGGTGTGACCCACTTAGTAAGTGGGCTGGAGGGGAGGGGGCACTCTGTAGCAAAATGAATTTTGAATCTGGTGAAGAAAAAACAAATATAATATAGAAATTATCAAAATATTTACTTTTATTTTATATTTATTAGTGTTTGCCTGCACATCATGTGATTACCTGGTGCCCACAAAGGCCAGAAGACAGCATCAGATCCCCTGAAACTGGAGGTAAAAAAAATTGATTGTGAGCTTCTATGCAGATGCTGGGAACAGAACTCAGGTCCCCTGCAAGGACATCAAGTGCTTCTAAATGCTGAGCTTTATTTAAAATCTTTAGTAAGTCAAATATATTTCATCTAGTTTTTAAAAGGGACATAAAACTTTGGAAAAAACACCCCAAAGAAAAGTTGATGTGCTAGAAAGGCAAGACTACGAAGTTACAGACGCTTGAGTTGTCCATTTACCCTTTAAGGAGCCTTACCTTCTATCACCTCAATAATCATTGACCCAAAAGAGAATGTGGGCCCCTCTAGATTTGAAAAAATCTGTCTCTGTCTCTGTCTCTGTCTCTCTCACTCTCTCTCATGTATTTTCATGCACACACACACACACATGCATGTACGGAGGGGGGTGATGCACATGTGTGTGCAAGCGAATGTGTTCAAGACCACATATATGCAGGGCAAAGGGTATGTTAGGTATCTTCCTCTACTGTTCTAATATTATTATTTTTATTTTAGACAGGTTCTCCCACTGAACATGAAACCAGCCTTTAGACTAGCCTGGCTGGTCAGAACCGATCCAGGTCCTCCTGTCCCCAACCCTGGAGTTCCAGGAGAGCACGGCTTCCTATGTGGGTGCCAAGGATTTGAATCCATGCCCTCCTCCTTTCATAACAAGTGTGTTTTCTGACTGAGCCATATCCTAAGCCCCAGAAAATGTCTTGGGTGTATGTGGTTGTTGTATGCTACTAAAACCTTAAACACACACTTTCTTAATGGTAAGGCCACCATGATCAGACTAAATGAAGAACAATGCCAATTCCCAGGAAAACCATTCCTTTAAATGTCTATTATTGAGGAAGCTCAAATAACCAACACTGGAAATTGAGATTAATATGATGTAGAAATTAAATACTAGTTTATTTGCTGTGCTTTTTGTAAGTGAATCCCAATTCCTTAAAGCACAAAGTAGAACTAGAAGAGAAGACTCAAAAGATAACCCTGCATAACCTTTTCAATGATCTCTTGTTGGGTGTCAGCAAAGAGTATGGCACAAGAGTGAGAATTGAAGGAACCAAAACAGTTGAGGGCAGACGCATACGTATTAGGTATCTGGTGGGTGCTCTCAGGAGGGCAGAGCAAAGGTCCCAAGGGGCAGAGCAATCTCTAGTCACTGTCATTTTCATGGGTGAAATTCACTATGGCAGATATATGAAAATTTAAAAGTAAAATGCAAACATCTGCCTTTTGTATGTGTTTCCAGATGATCTCTCCCCATGGCCCTTTCCCCAGCACTGTCTAGGTGTTCAGAAGATATTAACACAAGGCTGTGTGTATCACTTGCCATTTGCTATGCTCATCACCCCTCTGAGTGGGCTGACACAGTTTGACCTGCACTTTCCAGGACAGGCAGAAATGGTGCTTTCCTGGACTACCAGATGAAGCACTATGCCTTGCATCACACAAGGCACTGCTTTCATTATATTACAACACTAAGAGATTTTATTTATTTTTTTAAATTTTATTTTGAGACAAGTCTCACTATGCAGCACAAAGAGGCCCTGAACTCATGATCATCTTGCCTCTGCCTCCCAAGTGGAAAGATTACAAGCACGTACTACCACAGTGGGCTTTTTTTTAAGTGTAGGTCCTGGGTTTGAACTCAGGTCCTCATGCTTAAAAAGTTAGCATGTTCGACCTACTGAGCTATCTCCCAAGTCTCTTCATGTGATTCTTTATTAATTTATTATTGTATTATTATTAATAGATTAAAAACAGGTCTAAGAGTAGTTCTAGTGATTACCATAATGTTGAAGATATGCAATACATAAAACATTTCAAGTATCAGCAATAACTATAATGAGATATTAAAGTATCCAAATCCACCCATGATAAAGTCACAGTTATGGTAAATCTGACTCCAGTACTGACAAAATGCTGAATTTCAATTAGAGATTAGTAAAAGTCAATGAAATTTTTATAGATTTACCAACCTCATACCACCTTGAATTCTATCCACAAAATCCCCCATAATCAACGGACTACAGGTAGGAAACTTTGAGTTCAGATGATTTCATGAAGGCTCAAGAACTCTGAACAATGACAAGAACAAAAACACACATTCATAGCCTCGTCTAGTTTATTTTCATTGGAACAAAACTGTGCATGTATGTTTTTTTGCATATAAGATCCCTTTTGATATTCTCTATGAGGAAAACATTAGTTTAGCTTAATCTCACTTCACAAGTAGGGAAGGCAAGGCAGTTAACACACACAGTTAACACACATGGACTCTAGGTACTGAGCTGGGACTGGAATCCAAGGGTCAGAGTCTGATGTCTGTGTATAGTCCCTACCTTCTGCTTGGAATCTCTAAGGGGAGATGTGAAGCAACATTAGCTCTGTGCTAAGACTGTCCCATCCCCAGCAACCTTCTTAAGTGGACTGCTGCTCAGCCTGAGCAATCCTGGTAGCTAATGACAGAATTTGCGGACTTCCTTTTCATTCTCATATACGACTGTGCCATTTTCTAGTGTCATTTTCTAGAATGCCATGTGCTCTGGGAATTCAATTTCTGATAATAATATTGCCTGTTCTAGTGTTTTCTTCCAGAGCTATAAATTTCTGTGTAGCCCCTAATTTCCATAGGCAAACACAAAAAGAAATAACGGTTTCCCATTTGCAAACCAGTATAAAATTGTCTTTTGTGTTTGGTTTGGTTGTCCTTAGGGTGCTTTTTCCATAAAACCCTGCTTTCAAACTCTCACAGAGACATCAATTTCCTGAAATATATCCACTACGATCTAGTGAGTAACCAACAGGTACTCAAATGAAAAACCCTAAAGCTCTAAGTATTTTTGCTGTCTAAATTTCACTTATAATTATGAGACGTACTCTACATTCAGTTTTTAATTTAAATTCTCTAATCTTTCCTTTAACTTTTTTGTTTTGACCTCAAATTGATTTTGATCTCTCACTCCATGCAAATATTAATATTCATATATATTAAAGCTCCCCGCTGCACTGTAATCAGTGTTTTTATTTAGCCTGCAAGCTCTGTTCACCAGTCAGAGGTTTCTGTTGTTTAACCATGTCCCTCCCACACCAAGTTTCAGACACAAAAAACATTAGCTGGGAAAGGGGTCTTCGCTCTTGTATAAAATCTTTAAACAACCACAAAATACAAACTAATTGTACAACCACTGTTCCGTCTTGGATAGATACCAGTGGGAAGAAATGGTAAGAACCTTAAATCCAACTCTGTAGGACCTGAAGGTAGGTAGGTGTGTGTGTGTGTGTGTGTGTGTGTGTGTGTGTGTGTGTGTGATACACATATTCCATGACTCCCCTGTGACAGTCTGAGGACAACTTGTGGGAGTCAGTTCTCTCCTCCCCGCCCCCACTCCGGTTCTGGGACAGCACTGAGAACACCAGGCTTGGCTTGGCAGCAGTAGGCGTCTCTATATGCTGAACCATCTCACCAGTACACTATAATCCATACACACATTAGAACTTTCAAAGTTAAAAAAAAAAGCTATCTTTTTATTCACTTGTTGAGGTTCAGGGGGAAATGTTTCCATATGTTTTTCATGGAATAATCTCCATGAAAAGTTTCCAAGAGAAAATTTACAATCCATTTAAAACAGTAGATTTGGTTCCCTAACATAATGCCTCACCTTTTTTTGGTCATATAAACAAATACCTATGTCTATCTCCTGCATCTTGACAGACATGGACATGAGCTTGAGCCAGTTCTTCTAGTCAAGAAGGAAAAGAATACGCACACTATACTGATTCTCAAACCATTTTTTAAAAAGCTTCGCAAATCATCTGCTTAAATATCATGATATATAGAAAATCTGAAACAGAGATAGGATAGGAAACACACTGGGTCAAAAGAGGAGGCTGCACCATTTAGGAGATTGCTGGCATCTTTAATCTTGTCGGGCCAGTTTTCTAGTCCATAACACAGAAACAATCATTGCAGCTAGATCACCAGTGCTGTGGAGATGGTCTCCCATAGTAAGACAAGCACAGCACACAGACAATAATCATAGATGCAGGTAACTGCTGCAGTCAGTACTGCTTTGGCAACTAAGACAGGTGAGATACATATTTTATTGGATGTTGACAAAAAGTTTTGGATCAAGTTGATTCCCTGGCTAGTTAAGAAAGCAATTCTGTGTGAGCATTAGTTAATATTTGGAGATGGGTTCTTAATTACAAGTGAATAATAATGACTTAGATTGTATTTACATTTTAATATTTCCAGCATGAATTATTTTTAGCTTAGCTAATTAGTGCTAAGGCCTGTCATCGGAACAGTTTTCCAAATACACAGATTTCTTATTGCTTCTAACTTAGAAAATTAAAAAAAAAAAAAAACAAAAACAAAAACGAAGGACTACTAGCACTTCTGCTTGGTAAAATGAATTCATCAAATACAAACGCTGGTTTTTAAATGAATTTGTTTCTTCCCTGAGACTCGGGTTTCCATTTTTATTTGTTTTTATCAAGTGTTAAACAAAACAGGAAATTCTGGATATCAACTTTGAACAATTATCAAATATATTTATTTGTAAAGGAAAGTGGCTCTTTCAAATTCATCCTGTGTCATTACTTCAGAACTTGAAAACACACAAACACAGAAAAAAATGAAAGACTTAGTTCTTTAAAAATTAACCCAATTGATCTTTATTTTAAAATTTTCTCATTTTATTTTCTTCAAAATATTTTCAGTTACTGCTAGTTGGAAATGATAAATGACTGAAAGAAAACGTCTTTAGGAAAATATGACTTAATATTTAATAAGATTAAGAGGACTTAAGTGAAATTTTTTATATAAAACTAGAAATTTGTCTCCAGAGTTAAAATGTTATATAATTTTAAGTACTTAATACTTAAGAGTAATTAGAAGTCAGTCATCATACATCAATCTAGGTATAATTTTACTTTGGAATACAATCCAAACCTTTTCTTTGCATACTCATGCTGCACCTAAAACATCACCCAAATCCCAACTCAAAAGACAAAAAATAACAGCAGGGCTAGTGGCTTTAATCTGTCACTGGGGGCTACGTACAAAGTGTTGCTTTGGAATTACTTGTCAGGCTGAAAACTGGGGTTTACTTCTTTTTTAAAAGTTTAGTTAAGCTCCACACACTATCCATAAAGAAAGAAAAACCATTTTGAGTTACAGCACAGCACAGCACAGGATCGGAAACACCAGGCAACAGGACAATCAGCAAGAATGTGAAAGTTCTGGTCTAAAACTACAGGAATCCTAGTTTAAAAGACTCCAGTCGCAGTGTAGAGAGGAAGAACTCAGACTTCCATCCACCCACTGCTACTGGGTCTTATTTTTAATCTGGTTTTGTTTTATTTCAGTGCTGGGGATCGGACCCAGGGATTTGTGGTGCAAAGCAAATTCACTGTTTTTATTTAAAACTCACAAAAAAATTAAGTTAATGGAGTTGAGATAATCACTAAATGGCTAGGCGTAAGTGAAGAAAAAGCTAACAAAATCCACAGGTGATTCAATAGTGACTTTATGAAAGGAAGTGTGCACTATATATAGTTTAACAATCTCAGACTTTGTTAGGTAGTAGATCTCATTAGTTTGACTTCCTGGTTATCAGTCCAGGGCCTGCACTAAAACCCTAGATTCTAAACAGTTTGCAACTTAGATGTGTAGCAATATTGGTCTTGACTAGATACTGTCACATTTAAATCAGTTAGAAAAAAGTCACCCAGCCCACAAGTTCTGAAGCGTGACTTTCAGGGCTGAACTCTCTAAGTTACTCAATACACATTCAATGTATTAACATGGCCAAAGTCCATCTGAAATTAACAGAGATGATTAAAGATATCAAGTGCAGGTTAGACTGGCTTTTAGACACAGTGGGTTTTTTTTTTTTTTTCCCTCTCCTTTGCTGCTATCCTGGCTCAGAATCAGAATTATTTCCAAAGAACACCAACTTAAAACATAAAGAAGACAATTCATCACAGAATTACCTCAACAGAAGAAAACTTACACCAACTTGAAAACTAAAATTTACAACTTTACTATAGTTTTCCCATCTTCCAAATTGTATAATATGAAGTAAATCACACACACACACACACACACACACACAGAGAGAGAGAGAGAGAGAGAGAGAGAGAGAGAGAGAGAGAGAGAGAGTATACAAATGCAAACTGTAAACAACTCAAAATAAATGGAAAAACTAAAGGTATTCTTAAGCCACAGACTCCTACACACTTCCCACCCTGAAGGACTTAAAATTAAATCACACTATGTCTTGATTTTTCCCCCCAATTAGTTTGAAAGCACTTTGAATACGGCTACTGCCTATATACAAATGACACTAATTTTCCCATTTGGATCTAAGTCTTTTAATCCAGTTGTTACACCCTGGGGAAGGAAGTGGGGCTGAGTTGGATAGGGCTAAAAGAGCCCAGGGCTTGATTTGCTATATAGAACATGAAGTCCGCTTTGCTAATGCCAGAGCTGACTCCTGTCTCTATTGTCTGCTCTCAGAATCAGTAAAGGGCTGTGTGGGGTTATACTCTAAGACCTCTTGTGGGCCCGAATTCATGCAGATACAGGTCTATGGAAGAAAAAGGATCAACAGGCATTGCTCGTTTTATTAATTTTCCCCATAGTCTTTAGTGCTGGACTGATCTGTCAAAGACAGCACAAATACAGAAATGTAAAGTGGGCCAAAAATACTCATAGTAAGATCACTGACAGTCAATGTAAGTTGTATTTCCCCTACTAAAAGCATATTTTTAAGGTACCAGAGTTATTGTTTTGCTCAAAGGAGTGGTGCTATTTGTGGTATTGAAATAAGTATTTCTCTTAAAATGGAAACCATTTAGTTAATTCTGTGGAATGTGTAAGTTGGCTCTAAGTGCTCAGTAGTTAGGAACAGCTAGAAAATACAAAACAGCATATTTGATAAAGCCTTCATCAAGGTTTCAAGGATTTTGGATGAGTTCGCCCATCCCTGCCAGGATTTGATGTCATTCATGCAGTAACTATATATCGGCTAAAATATTGATTATACAATAAAGTAGAAAATGCTAGAGAATCTACAAGTAAATCTTGAGCCTAAACTCCACCTTTTACCCTCCTTACTACTAAAGCCAACACACATTTTCCCCATAGCTATGCTTAGAGTTTTCCACCTCATCACAAACTTCCTCCCATTTTTTTTTTTTTTTTTTTTGATAACTCCCTAGGGTCTCCCTCATAGAAAAGCATGGAATGAAAAATAGCCAGAGACTCTGCCAACCAAGCAAGCATGTTAGGGCGCTTACATGTACAAATTAAATAACTGATCTTTCTACACATGTATTGCCACTGTTTAAAAGCCCCCAGTGAAGGCATAGCTCACAATTCAAAGATCTCAAATTTCACCATTTCTTACTTAGGCTGGCTCTACTCTAGATTCAACAGGTTTTTTTGTTTGTTTGTTTGTTTCCCACATTACAGAACTATGTTGTAACAAAGTTTCTCTCTCATTAAAACTTTTGAAACCTTTAGAGGTTACTTTTACTCAACTATTTGTGGTAGATACATCAAGAAGATGTCAACAATTTATTATGAGTTCTTTCTTATTTATGATTAGAGAATTATCTGCCCTAAAATGTCTTCATTCTATATTAGCATTTAATACTATACTTTATCCTAAAATGTTAACAATCAGTGACTACATTTTAGCCTTTTTGCAGTTTAAATTTAAGAGCCTCCACAATGTTCAGAGGCTAAAAATACTTAGACACAAGTAATGAAGAGAAATTGTGACTATGGAAAATTTAATGGTACCTAATCTCAAGAGGTCAATATACCCAGCAAAATACATCCTACAAAACCTATCACTGAAGAAAAGTGTTATTAAAGTAAATCAATTAATGATCTGTAATTACCCTAAATAGTTAACAACTGTCTTTAACTATAGCTTCAACTTTGGGCCAAATTAAGAAAGTTGATTTCAAACTAAGAGGAAAAAATGATACACAGGAAAATTGTTTTGCTTTCCATTTTTTCCACTTCTGTTTTATAAAGATGCTCAAATATTAAAAATTTCATAGCTTCTTTCTTACATTAACCTATTTAAAATCTGAAAACAAGCCAACCCCACGTCAGTCAAGTATTTTGTCACTACTACATACTCTTCAGAACTTACAAAACTTCACCCAGATTCTACTAGATACTTTTCAGGTTTCTTGCTTTCTCTCACATCTACCATGAAACCAATAGCTACATATATAATAAAGACCTAACACGATGTAAAGCAAAAAACTTCCATGAGGTCCACCCTCCAAAAAAAAAAAATTAATCACAAATCAAAAATGCCAATTTGGGGCCCAACCTAGTTTCCAAGAGGCTCTGCACGAATTACAAAGGAAAAGGAAGGCTAGCTATAGTACTTCTTTGGTAGGGAATGTGACTAAACATTATTCTTTTGACCCTTTTTTGATGATAAAAATCAAGATAAAGAACATGCCTACGGAATTAACTCTGGGGATACTGAAAAATAACCAGAATAAGAGTGGAAAAACAACTTTAAAAGTTAGCCCCCACTTCAACCAAACACAAACTCACTAAAGTTGAGAGTCACCTTTCAATCACTTCAAACAAAAATTAACTCAACAAAAACTATCTCAAAACAAATTATAAAACTGAGCCTTGTTGAAACTTCTGCCTACCAAGCATTTTAATCCACAGGTAATAAACTCTGCACAAAAACCTTACTTTTTTTTTTTTCCTGCCCTAATTCCACTTCAAAGGTGCCAAGACTTCAATGAGGAAGCTGAAAGGCCCGATTCGGAATCCGCAAGGCACCCCCGGGTGTTTGTGGCCCGAGCCACAGACACTTGCTCCAACACTGGGTGCAGGTTCTGAGCCCCCATTCCTAGCCCTATTGCCTTTGGGGCAGGGACAAAGCTGTCCCCCTGAGAAGCTGAGGTGTTGGGGGGGGCACTTTGTGCCTGTTTCGCTGCCTTCTGCGTTGCCACTGCCTAACTAAGGGAACCCTGCAACAACTGTCTCCCTAGAGGAGCAGGGACTTTTCAGGTGGGGTCACCGAGAGAGGGTCGGCGTATTGGGAACACCCTTTTCCCACTGTGGCTGCTCTGAAAGCAGACGACACGTCCTGGTGAGGGTTTTCCTCGCGCGCCTGATTTCTGTTCACCCCCTCCCAGCCCCGAGGAGCCCGGAAAGTTTCCAAGCACCGGGAGTTTGAAGTGGTGCGTGGGCCGCAC